TTTTTTTTTTTTTTTTTTTTTTTGGCAATTGGGGTTAAGTGACTTGCCCAGGGTCACCCAGCCAGTAAGTGTCAAGTGTTTGGTCTGAGGTTGGATTTGAACTCAGGTCCTCCTGACTTCAGGGCCAGTGCTCTATACACTGTGCCACATAGCTGCCCCTCAAGCATTCTTGATGAAAAGACCAGAGCTGAATAGAAAATTGAACTTTCAAATACAATACTCAAGAGAAGCATGAAGAGGTAAACAGGAAAGAGAAATGATAAGGGACTTACTGAGGTTGAACTGTTTACATTCTACATGGAAAGATGATATTTGTAACTCATGAGACCTTTGTCAGTATTAGAGTAGTTGGAGGGAAAAAAAATTATATCTGTAAATAGATTGATAAAGGGCACAGGGTGAGTTGAAGATGAAGGAGTGATATGTGGAGAATAAAATTAAGGGGTAGGAAAGGATTATACTGGGAAAAGAAGAAAGGGAGAGGTAGAATAGGGTAAATTATCTCACATAAAACAGACAAGAAAAGGCTTTTATAGAAAGTGAAGAGGAAGTGGGGAAAGGTGAGAGGGAATGAGTGAATCTTATTCTTATTTGATTTGGCTTAAGGAGGGAATAACTATACACACTCAATTGGATATGGAAAGTTATCTTACCCTACAGGAAAATAGGGGGGAAGGGGATAAAAGAATCTCTTTTTTTTTTTAAAGGGGAGGATAATAGAAGGGAGGCAAATTGAGGGAGGGGGTAATCAGAAGCAAACACTTTTGAGGAGGGACAGGGTCAAAGGAGCGAACAGAATAAATGGGGGGGGCAGGATAGGATGGAAGGAAATATAGTTAGTCTTTCACAACATGACTATTATGGAAGTGTTTTGCATGACCACATATGGCTAACCTATATCAAATTGCTTGCCTTCTCAATGAGGGTGGGTGGGGAGGGAGGAAGGGAGAGAATTTGGAACTCAAAGTTTTAAAAATGAAAAAATTATTTTTACATGTAACTGGGAAATAAGATATACAGGCAAAGAGGTATAGAAATCTTTCCTTCTGTATAGGAAAATAGAAGGGGAAGGAGATAAGAGATGGGGGGGGTGATCACTAAAAGGGAGGCAAGATTAGAGGAAAGTATTTAGAATGCATGCTGTCTTGGGGAGAGATGTGAAGAAGATTTGGAACTCCAAATCTTGTGGAAGTGAATAAATGATAAATAAATAAATAAAAATTAATTAATTAATAAGGTGTTAGGAAAAAAAAAGGATTGGGGAGGAGAAAATGTCCTGATGCTAAAAAAGAAAGCCAGGAGGGGGTGGGGGTGGAGAGGGAGGAATCTGCAAGCTATAGGCCAGTGAATGTAACTTTGATTCCTGGCCAAATTCTAGAGTGTATTACCAAAAGAATGGTTAGAGAACATCTTAGAAAGGAAGCAGTAATTGTAAAAAACAAAACAGCTTGGTTTCATCATCATCATTGCAATCATGATAGCTGCCGTTTATATAGTGCTTTTAAGTTTCAAAGAACTTTACAGATATCTCCTTTTATTCTTATAACCACCCTGGGAGATAGGTGCTATTATTATTACCATTTGGTTGATGAGGAAACTGAAGTGGACAGTTAAGTGACTTGACCAGGGTCACACAGCTAGAAAGTATCTGAAGGGAGATTTGAATTCAGATCTTCTTGTCTCTAGGTCCATGCTGTAGCCACTGTGCCACAAACAGATCGTGAAAGACCAACCTTATTTCCTTTCTTGACAGTTACTACAGGGGAATGCTGTAAACATAGCTTGATGAAACATTTATTAAAGTCTTTCATGATATTCATATGGCAAAGATAGAAGGATGTGGAGTAAATCAGTAGACTCCAAATGAGGGCTGTGGAATGACCCACGGGGCATTTGATCAGTCATTTGGAGGATGGAAAGAAAGGTTATAACCCCTCTTCCCTCTCTTCCCATAGCCAATCATAAGCCTGTCTCCAGTAAAGCTGTACCACCACCTTCAACATTCCACTTTTTTGCCCACCTCTTGCTGCCAGGCTCTTGTGGGACTGCTGTGGGAATGGGCCCCTTAAGATGGTTCTGACCTAACCAGCTCAGGTACCCTGCAGCAGCTACAGGCTCTCCTCTCCCCCTCTACCTCCTGGCTGCAGCAGGGGCCCTCAGCAAGCAAGCTTTACCTTCGGGCAGTGATTGGTGAGTAAGCCCTTTCCATTCACTTGTTTTATTTTTTGATAGGAAAGCATGTAAGCACCACAGTAAGAGCAGGCATTGATGTGTTGTGATTATATTATACTCCCCTGCTTACATTTAAAGACCTTTACAATGTGGCTTCAACTTTCCTTTTCTGGGGTTATTTATTATACATAACTCCCTGTTGTGCACTCTTAGATCCAACCACACTGACCTTTTTGCTGTTTCTCACCCATGACGTTCCATTTCCCAGCTCTGCCTTTGCACAGGCTCTCCTACCTGCCTGGAATGCTCTTCCTCCTTACTTCTGCTTTTTGAAATACCCCTGATTTTCTTCAAAGCTCAACTCAAACACTATCTCTTATATATGAGACCTTTTGTGATCCTGAGTTCCTAGTGCCTCCTCACCCCATTACCCTGCATTTTATTGTGCATATACTACAAGTATGTGTACACGTTTTCACCTGCTTTAGAATGCAAGTTCCTTCATGTCAGAGATTTCCATTTTTTTTTCCCCATTGTATCACCAGCTCCTAGTGCAGTGCTGAGAGCCTGTAGTAGCCACTTGGTTGTTGATTGATTGACTGACTGGTAGTTAGGAGGACTTACCTGTGTTATTTGCAAGCTGTGTGTCCCTGGGAAAATCGCTTCATTATGAAGTTTTCTTGTCCCTAAAATGGGGATGATAATATCTACTTCACAGGATTGTTGTGAGGCTAAAAAGAATGTCAAGTACTTTGTAAACCTTAAATTGCTTTGTGAATGTCAGTTAAGATGATGATAACCTCTAAGGGCCTTTCCAACTCAGATTCTGTGATTCTCTGTGAAAGGTGTTGAAATGTAAAGAGAAGAGGGAAGTAAATGGGGGAGAAATGACATTTATATGCTATCTAAAATGATGAATGTACTTCTGTCATTAGCACACACGATAAAACTTATGAAATGCTTGTAATTCCTCTGTCCTGATAGCCTGCATGCCAAAGAGTATTAACAGTTTTTATATTCAGCTCTTATAATGGCTTAGTGTCTGACCTTGGAGATTTGACATTTTTCTGCCTCATTGTAGAATCTGAAGAATATATGCAATTAGACATTAGTAGGATTAGTATAATTAATGTTCATCACAACCTTCTTATTTGAAGGGATTTTGTGTGTGAGAGAGAAAGATCAGTTTTTCCCAGAATATTTCAAGTCTTTCTTTAATAAATTTGATTTAAAGTAACCGTGAGATCCAAGTCTTAAAAACAACAAAAGAAAAAGAGCTGAAAATTCAAAAATGTCCTTCCCTTAATTATCATTGTCATGTCTTAATACAGTTGCTTCATTACGCAGAATAAAATGAACTGATCAGATCTTGAAATGAATGCATACAAGTGACCTGGAGGAGCATAAACTACATATTAGGGCAAACCACTTTGATTATTGTATAATTTTAAATTCCATGTGTGCAGATTGAATGTAAATCAAATGTATTCTAGTTTAAAATATTCTTATAATGGGTATGGAAGTTATATCCATTTTACAGATGAAACTATTCAGAAGAAACTGAAACACAAAAGGATGAAGTAACTTGTCAAAGATTATACCCTCAATTTATTTATTTATTTTTTTAAGGCAGTTGGGGTTAAGTGACTTGCCCAAGGTCTCACAGCTAGTCATTACCTAGCTGCCCCATTACACCCTCAATTTAAAAAGAAAATTAATGATGTGTTTTGTTTTTACTTCTACATTTCCCACTGTATCATTCTCCCACGTTGTCCTAGAGAGCCATTCATTACAATAAAGAATTTTTTAAAAGGAAGAAAAAATTTAAACAGAACTAACCAGTTTAGCCCTGGTACTTGAGCTCATCCCAGTGCCAACCCCAGGCTTGCGTGGGAGGAGAGGAGAGGGCCTGGGTGCTGCCTTCCTAGGTAGCACGTGTTATCTGGGACAGTGTACTCTGATTGGGTCCCTTACTTAGAAAGGAAAAACCTGGGGTTCAGAACAGTTAATAGTTTATTAACTGTGTGCCTGCCACACAGCCCATATTCAAGTACTAAGTAGAAATTGGCTGGTGGTTTCATTAGAGTCACATGTTGACAAATTGTAGCTATTATAGGTGCTGGAGGCAAGTGTCAGAATGGATCAAATGTATTTACTAGCTGTGTAACCCTGGGCAAGTTACCTGAATTGGAATGCTGTCTCAGACACTTCCTAGATTTATGATTCTGGGTAATTCGTTTAACTGTTTTCAGCCTCAGTTTCCTCATCTGTACAATGTACTTTTGATAAAAGTGCCTACCTCACAAGGTGGTTGTTAAAATCATGTGAGATAATGTATGTAAAGTGCTTTATAAACCTTAAAGCAGCACATGAATGCCAGCTGCTATTCATTATCCTCATCATTACCACCACCATCATCATCATCATCATCATCATCATCAGAACAGAGCTTTGGTGTTGATACCTTGCAGTATTGTGAGGAGGCAGGCTAGGCCATTCACGTGTATGCATCTCACAGATTTTGTTTTCAAGTCCCACACGGTGCTTATCAAAAATATGTCTGGAGGAGTAGCTATGTGGTGCAGTGGATAGAGCTCTGGCCTTGAAATCAGGAGGACCTGAATTCAAATGCAGCCTTAGACATTTGACACTTACTAGCTGTATGACACTGGGCAAGTCACTTAACCCCAATTGCCTAAGCAAAAAAGTAAGTCCTAAGGATTTTCCCCCTTTTAGAGGCAGCTGGGTGTCACAGTGGATAGAGCACTGGCCCTGAAGTCAGGAGGACCTGAATTCAAATCCCGCCTCAGACATATAACACTTACTAGCTGTGTGACCCTGGGAAAGTCACTTAACCCTAATTGCCTAAAAAAAGAAAGAAAGAAATATGTCTAGGCTGTTTGGAAGAAACTATCAATTCAAAATGGACAGCTACAAGGTAGGCCAAGAAGATTTCAGCTAAAGAAAGGAAAGGCAAAATGAGAGATTTTTTAAAAGTAATGAAGGCCAAAATAATGTGAAACAAATATCAAGTGTAGTGTGAAGAAGCTCCAAAAGATATTTGCTCCAAAGACATCTCCTAAGATGGGAGTAGCTTAGGAGACAGCACCTGCCTCTGCCAAAGGTCCCTACCAAGAAAATTCCCACTAAGATAGTCAAGAGCTTAAAGGAAGCCCAGCTTAGAAGGATCTGAATGCCTAAGGCTAGAAGAGGCCAGCCCAGAAAGCATGAGCCCAAAAAGCAACCTCCCCAAAATCTAAAAAATAAGAGGCTGCTAGACATCAAATAAAGATCTCTGACTTAGAAAAAAAAACCACCTAAAACAAAAATAAACTAATCTATGTATGAAAAAAGTCTGATAGTCACAGCCATGTGTGCTTCCCTGCAAAGAAGCAGAAACTTTCTCATCTTTCTTATCTTCCCATCTTTCTCATTTCTTTTTTTGGGACCAAGTTTGGTCATTATGATTTTCATTATTCAGTTTGGATTGTTTTGTTGTTCTTTTCATTTACATTATTGTAGTTATTATTTATGTTGTTTTCCTGGCTCTACTTATTTCACTGTGCCTTGGTTCATGTTGTTTTCATGGTCCTCTATATCATAGATTTTTCATCTTTGTCATTTTGCTGGGTATGAGGTGAAATCTCAGGTTACAACTGATATTAATGTTATACCCAGGTTCTTTTCCTACTAAGCAAAAAGGAGTTAGTTTGGAGAGCTTTAAGATTAATGGTTCCACTGAAGGGTGAATCAAATTCCCAAAGGTTGAGAGATTATCTTTTATTGGAAGATAATTTTTACATTGCAACTTCTAGTGGTTTTGTTCCTCCCAAGTTTTATGCCCTGACCAGTAGTTTCTTCTTTCTTCTTCTTTTCCAGACCTTTTAGTCATTTTTTTCCTCATGTATTCTATTAAGCATATACCATGTGCCTTACTTTAGTGGTAATTTCATCCTTCAAAAGATGGAGGAAGCAACAAGTGGAAATTCTGTCCTAGAGCTGATTGTCACTAACAGGGAATAATTGTTTGCTAGGATGGAAATGATAAGGAACCCCAGGGTAAGTGAGCATTCCCCTAGAATTTGTGATGGAGAAGGAAGGAAGATCTGGGCATAGTCTGGCATACATTCTAGATTTGGGGAAAGAAAATTTCAAATGGTTCAAAGGAAAGATAGGTGGGAGCCTGTTTTTAAGAAGCAGAAGAGAACAGAGTACAAACTGTGTAATAGAGAATTTTGTTTCCTAGGAAAATTCTAGAACAAATCATTAATAAGATGATTGGTGAATACTTAGAAAGGGAAGCAGTGATTACAAAGAGCCAGTATGGCTTCATCAAGAATTGAGACATGTCAAACTAATGTCATTAACTTTTTTGATATGATTACTAAACTAATAGTTGAAGGAAATGCTGTGAATGTAGTTAACCCAGATCTTAGAAAAACTTTTTTGATAAAGGATCTTATACTATTCTTTTGGAGAAGACAGAGAGATATAGATTAAATAAAAAGACTCTGAACTAGTTGGGTGACAATCATACTTAAAGAGAGTATTTATTAATGGTTTCATGTCATCATGGCAGGAGGTCTCTAGTAGAATACCTGAGAAATCTTGGTGCTGTGCTGTTTAACACTTTTATCAGTGACTTGGATAATGCCAGAGATGGTATTGTTATTAGTTCTGCAGATGTCACAATGCTGGAAGATATAGCTAACATGTTAGCTAACAGTCAGGATGTTAAAAGATATTGACAAGCTAAAGCATTAGACTAAATCAAAGAAGTTGAAATTTGATAGGGACAAACATAAAGCCTTACTCTTGAATATAAAAATCAACTTCACAAGTATGAGATGGGGCAGTCATGGTTTGATAGGCATTCTAAAAAAGATCTGGAGGTTTTGGTGAACTGCAGAATCATTATGTGGAAGTCAAGAGAAGACTAGCTTTTAGAAATTGGGAAGTGATAGTTTCCCTGTGCTCTGTCCTTGTCATACTTTTTCTAGAGTATTGTGTTCAGTTCT